TGCGGGGCGCTCCGGGAGGTGCACAGCGCGGCGCAAAGCCACAGCGCCCGGAGCCCGGACGGGCTGGGCATCTCGGCGGCCGGGCGGCTGGGGCACCTGGCGGGCGGGCGCGCGGGCGGGCGCACGGGCGCGGTGGCCGCCGCTGCTCCCTCCCGGTCCCGGCGGGCTGCGCCGTCGGTGGGGACCGCCCCGCGCGCTCTGCTGGGCGGCGGCGGCGGTGGGAGCGCCGGGACGGTGCAGTCAGAGAGGGGCAGGCATTGTTGAGTGATCTTCGTTATTCAGTTTCACAGGCTGGGCTTGGCAAGGGAGGGAGACACAGCCGGAGGAGGAGTCAAGGAAACTTTCTACGCTGCGGCGCGCTCCCCTTCCCTCCTTCCCTCGGAGCTGGCAGCAACTTCATCCAGGAACGAAAAAAAAGGAGGAAAGCAAAGAAACCCAAGCGAGCAAAGCTCAGCCCGTCAGAGACCTGCACTTGTTTGGAAAGGGTCCCCCAGGGCCTCGGCCGCGGGGCTCGGGACCGTCCTGCGTCTCGGGACAGCCACGGGGTCCCATGGGACCCAGAGGGGGCCTCGGAGAGAGGCCTGGGGACTCCCAGGGCCCCTCGGATGCCTCCACCACTTTTCACACTGGAGGAAACCGAGATCCAAGGGGAGAAACGATCTGTTCAAGGTGACACGGCTGCTAGGGCAGCCCCAGAGCTGGCACTCACCCGCCCGCCTCGGCCGGCCTCCTGGACGGGAGAGCGGAGTGAGGGGCTGCGCTGGGAGGCGCCGGGCTGCGGAGGGGCCCCTGCCCGCTGAGATGACCCGGCCGCGGGCACCCGGGAGCCGGCGGGCACCCGGGAGCCGGCGGGCACCCGACCCTCCTCCCTGAGGGGCCGCGCCCTGACTCCGGAGAGGCGGGTGTGGACTTCCACCCGCTGAGTGCACCCTGGGTGGAAATGCACTCCTGCAGCCTCCGTCAGGCTTCCGGCCCGGGGACCACCTTGGTCCCCTCTCCCAGGACCTCAGGAGGCTGAGGGACTGCGGGCAGCCCAGCTGGTTGTCGGAGCCCGCCTCAAAGTAAGCGGATAGGCGCCACCTGGAGGCCGGGTGCTGCCGCTGCAGCTCAGCCACCCTGAGGCCGGAATCCCACCAGGGCGCTGACCTGGCAGCCCCAGAGCCCTGGTGAGCAAGGGGCATGGTGGTTAAAACGGAGGTCAGCTGGGCGCGGTGGCTCAGGCCTGTAATCCCAGCACCTGAGATCGGGAGTTCGAGACCATCCTGACCAACATGGAGAAACTCCGTCTCTACAAAAAATTAGCCGGGCATGGTGGCACATGCCTGTAATCCCAGCTACTCGCCAGGCTGAGGCAGGTGAATCTCTTGAACTCGCGAGGCAGAGATTGCGGTGAGCCGAGATCACACCATTGCACTCCAGCTCTGGGCAGCAAGAATGAAACTCTTTCTCAAAAAACAAACAAAACAAAACAGAACAAAAAAAATGAGGTCAATTGCTGTTCTCTCCTTAGACCATAGTGAGCTGGCTGTGCTTCCTTCAGGCAGCCTCTTGCTCTCTCTGGTCTCTCCCATGCTGAGTCAAGCCCCAGTCCAGAGCTAGAGTGGGCTGTGGGCCCCCTTCCTTCCATTTTTGCCCTGTCTCCCCATGGTCCAGCCAGAGGGTATACCAGAAACCCTGGACCTCAGAGGCATCCAGGATTTCTTCTGCCCTGTACTTCCACATGCCAGCACCCTCTCATCAATGCCCCTTCACTCTCTGATAACTTCCCAGGGCTGGAGAGGCCGCACAGTTGGACCAGAACTGAGCAGACGCTGACCCTAGGCCTCCAGCTGGGGCCATGGCCCTGAAAGTAGAAGATAAGCCTCCTAGAAAGGCCAGAGGATAGGCCTGTATGGCCACAAAGACCCACAGATAGAGCCACCTCTGCCCTATAGCAAAAGCTACCGCAGGCCAGCCTGTCCTTCCTTCATTCAGCCATAGCCTCAGCTCCATCTCATCTGCAGCTCCCGCTGCTCCAACGTGAGGTTTTCCTAGGGTGGAAAAGCCATGGTTGAGCCCTGTTGCAACCTCAGCAGCAGCTGCTTGAGACAGACTCAGGCAGCTCAGAGCAGAGCCTCCAGGCTGCCTTTGTGAGGGTCATTAGGGGGCCCAGCCCTCAGCTCCTGATACACACGGCGTATGGAGGGCACCAGTGCTTACTCCCATTCTGGGAAAGCTCCCAATTAAGCAGCCAGCATGACCTCTGTACCCTTCCTCCTCCACCAGGCCTAAGAAGGCCCCTCCCCTGACTTCTGACCCTTGCACATTAGTAGGAACTCAGGAGCTCTCCCTACTTCCCCACTTGGGGAGATCCAACTCCACTTCAGGGACTCTTGTTCTGGTCTGTCCAGGCTTTCTCTGCATCCACCCAGGGCCTCCCACCAGGGGCAGTTGGTGTCCAGCACTAGGCGCTGCACCTGGAAACTTGTGGTCTGGCCAGGGAGGCAGGCCAGAGCCCAGGCAGCCATCAGCAATTATGCACACGTGTGCAGTGCAGTCCTAGAGCATGCGGGACAGACAGCTGCCTCCCCACCCTCTTTTCTGGTCTCTGCTTCTCCTCCTGGTTTTTTCTCCATATGCCCTCCCTGCTTTCTCCCCCAGCTCCCTCCTATGTGGAGGGGAGGAAGGAGGAGGGAGCGAAGAAGCAGGGAGAACTGGCAACTCCACCTGAGGGGGTGCCTCCAGCGCCTGCCTTCCAAGTCACAGGGTGGCTCTGGCACCTCCACCCTGGTAGGAGCTGAGGGTGGCCCCTGGGAGCTCTGGCAGGTAGAGAAGAATGGGGATGGCAGGAGAAGGGATGTGGAAAACAGCATAAATCCTGCTGCATACGGGGTGGCGGGCAGAGGGCGAACAATTTGGAGCTGTGATTCCGCATCCAAGGCTTAGCACCACAGGAAACTAGACGTGGAGAGGCCGAAGTCTGAGGAAACGGAGAAACTGGAGGATAAGTGGGGAGAGGGTTGCTCCAGGGGAAAAACCAACAGTGCAGGGGCCACAGGTCACCTGGTTCAGCCAGACTCCAGCCCTAGCTTCCATCCCGGCTCCATGTTTGCCCAAAATACCCACACGCTGGGCCCAGGTCCGAGGACGGGCAGACAGGACACACCGAGCCTCGTGCTCGGCCACGTGTCTTTATTCTGAGACTCTGCCCCTTCGCAGCACAGGGCCCCGTGGAGGCCGCCCTTCCAGGGAGCCCCGGCCACGAGGTCTGTGCCCTGCTGGACGAGCCCCATCCAGCAGGGCACAGGCCTTTCCTGCTCTGACACTGCACAGTGACCACTGACGACTCAGGGCAGCCTGTCTGCCAGTGCGCCATTCAGACAGTTGTAGAGGTAGATATACTGCTCCTGCAGATGGACACGGGGTGGGAGGCTCACCCCGCCTGCCCCAATCTAACAGAAAAAGTGTCCCTTGTGTGTCCCAATCCTAGGACTCCGTCTGGGAGATCGCGCAGCGGTTCACAGCGCCACCTGTTGGCTGCCTGGGTGTGTGGCCTAGAGGCCTGGGCAGAAGCTCCCTCATCTCTCTGCCCCTTTCCACAGCTGAGGCCCCCACCACACCCCCAGCCCCGCACGTGGCCTCTGGTCGCCTCTGGTTGCCTCTCACCAGTGTTGGCGTCATGGGGCCACAGGCCTGAGACTGCTGCAGGGCCACCTTAAGACATCCACGGTGCACTCAGACCCTGCCTGCCACAGCAGCTGCTCCATGATCAGGAAGGTGCCCAGCTGGGTGGCACCCTTGCTGCAATTGACCTAGAGTTGGATGGGGTACCTAAAGAGGTGTGGCGGGGGTGTCTGGGGATGTGAGAAAACCCAACCTGGGCGCAGGGACTGAGAAGGGACACTGAAGGCTTGGTCAGCCAGCCAGCCTGGGCCCTGGCAGGGGGGCAGTAAATTCCCACCGTACTCACTGCTGACTTTCTCCCCTATTGCTCCCACACCAGCTGCCAGAAGTCCTCCAGCGTTTTCTTGAGAGGCCCCTGAGTGCAATTCCCGTGGGTGGGTGTGGCCCCGGGGTGTAGGGCACAGAGGTCAGGAACATGTTAACAGGCAATGCTTGGTGCCAAGCACACAGCAGATTTCCGACATCTGACCTCCAGGAGTAAGGACGCTGTGCCCACACCTACATGCGTGCAAACACACTAGCATGTGTGCACCCAGAATGCAGACCAGGAGGGCTGACTTCAGAGACACCACCCCAAAGGGACAAGAAAAGCCCCAATGAAAACAGGATTCTGACATGTGATAAATAGTCCATCTAGACCATCCTTTTCACCCACTCAGAGTTACCTTCCTAAAACCAAACTCTGTGTTTATTCCATGCTCAAAAATCTCCTATGGCTCCCCAAGGTCCACCAAATAGAGTCCAAAGCCCTCAGCCTAACAAGCCCTCCTTCATTCAACCCCAGGCTACCTTTCCATTACATCCCCCACCGCCCAGCGCCTCTCCACTCACCCCTACCGCCCCCCACATACACTGCCTGTGCATTACTGCCTGGCTGTTCTCTGGCTGCTCCTTCCAGCCAGAAGAATGTCCTTCCCCCTTTCACACTTATCAAAATGATACTCGTCCTGCAATAAATCAAATGCCCCCTCCTCTGGGAAGCCCTTCTTGATTCTTCAGGTGGGCCAAATTTCTCCTTCTTCCATGTGCCCTGAACACAGTGATTTGTTCCTGTATTACAGCCCTGGTCACAACGTGTGGTGAGTGTCATGCACATGGCCACATGCTCCTTTGAAGGTGGGGAATGTGGCTAACTCAGCTCTGCCCCCTGCAGGCTGAGCATAGAGCCCAGCACACAACAGACTCTTGCTAGACACCTGGTGGATTGAGCTGATGCAGCCCAAGCTGGTGATCTCCTAGAAGACTGCTACAGCTGATGAAGGCCAGTGTGGCCTGCAAACCAGCCCATCTCCCAGGCAGATCCCAGATCTCACGGACAGCCTCGCCGGCGGCCCTTACTGGAATAAAGTTGGTATTGATGTAGTCAGAGTGGGGCTCTCCCTCCAGCTAGGTCAGCCTGTCCCTGGAGGTGTCATCTGCAGGGAGTGAAAGCTCCGCACTCAGGGCTGGGCATATGAAGCCCCTGCCCCCATGCCAAGCCCTAGCCCTCTGCCACGCCTCCTCTGCTGCCCCCAGCACTCACAGGGTAGCACATGTGGGTAATGGTTCTTGGTGGTGTTGGGAGGGTGCTCAGTCCCCAACCTGGGCTGCTCCTTGCCCACCTCCTTCAGCTCCTGCAGGGTTCAAGGGTAGATACTGGTTGCTGAAGTAGACCCATCTTACCCGGTGCCAGGAGAGGGGCAGTGGGGGCACGTGTGCAACTGGGAGTTCCCTCCAGACCTTCAGACAGGTCCCAGGCTTCCTTCCTCTGAGCCCAAGTGTGGTAGAGGTCTTACCTTGAATTCCAAAAAGAAAGTCGGGTGTGCGTGAGCACTCTTGGCCTCATAGCTCTGCCTGAAGCTGTGGATAGGGATGAGCCGGTGGGTCCTCCTGGTGAGAGGGGGGGTCTGCCTGGCGAGAGGGGGAGAGGATAGCCCCCCAGCCTTAGGTTTGCCAAGTTCTGCCCTGCCCTCCCCTGGGTGATGGGTACAGAGCAGCATCACCTGATCACCTGGGGGCCTGTTGGAAACGCAGATCCTGAGCTCCGCCCTGGGTGTGGGGCAGCGTGCCTGTCCCACGAGCTCCTCCAACGCCCAGCCTGTGCTGCAAACCACCAGCGTGGGAGAAGAGAGAGGGGACGGGGGACATGTAGCATACGGACGTGCACACGCACGCATGAGTCCCCTGACTCCCTCCACAGGTCCTGAGGAGGGCTTCTGAGCACAGCCCGTGCCCAGTTCATGTCAGCTCCATGGGAGGCTGAAGTGAGGAAACCCTGGCTCTACATGGTTAGCCCGGGAGAAGGTGAGAACTGGAGACGTGTGATGGTTAATTTTGTGTCAACTTGGTTGGGTCACACTGCCCAGATATTCGGTCAAGCATTATTCTGGATGTTTCTGTGGAGGTGTTTTTTGTATGAGATTAACATTTAAATTGGTTGACTGGGTAAACTCTAATGTGGCTGGGCCTCGTTTAATCAGTCAAAGGCTTTCATGAAACAGACGGACCTCTGAGCAACAAGGAATCCTGGCAGCAGGCTGCCTCCGGCTGCTTCCCTGAGCCTGTGGCCTGCTGGTCTACCCAGATTTCTGGACTCACCAAACCCCCACAATTATATAAGCCAAGTCCTCGACATCTCTCTCTTCCCCCTCTCTCCCTCTCCTCTCCTCTCGCTCACCTTCCTGTCCTCTCTCTTCCTGCTCTCCACTCTCCACATGCACACCCTGTTGGTTCTGTTTCTCTGGAAAGTCCTGGCTTATGTATGAGTGCATTTGGAGGAGGAAGAGGCCACATGGGCAGAGAGGAGTGGGGGGCGTGAGGTCCAGGCACTGAAAGGCATTTGGGCAGGTGTGGTGGTGGCTGAGGAAGAATGGGGGTCTGGCAGAGCCTTGCAACCCCCTGACTGGGACATAGTCACAGCAGAGTGGGTGGCAGGGGAGATTTGGCGATGCCACCATGGCCCCACAAGGCAGGGAGGAGCAGGAAAATGCACTCACAGCAGGTTGTAAGCTGTCAGCTCTTGGGAAAATGGATCCTTCCTTACCCTGCAAAGGGTGAGGGGCACGTAGGAGGCAGCCCCAGGGGCACGGAGCTGGCCTGCCCCGATCACAAAGTTCTTCCTAGCCCGCAGCCTTCTCTCCCATTCAGCTCTGCCGCTTCACCACCTCCAGCACAACAGACCCAGCGCAGCACAGATCCTGAGGACACAGCCCACCACGGGGCCTGCCGCTGCCAGCAGGGGCACTGCTGTGGGGAAGACACTGGCCCGGGGCTCTGCGGAGGGAAGGAAGGGGTGGAACATAGCAGCCTTGTCCCACAGACCCTGTGGGGTCATGCGAAGCTCTCCTGGACCTGGGACCCTCTGGGTGAAAGGTACAGTGGCAAACCCCTGTACCCTAGAAGTCCCAGATACCAAAGTGAGGCCAGAGATGGCAGCATGGGGAAACATCTGGGTGGAAACTGGAAACACCCAGCAACGTCTCCCTGCTCCCAGCTCCTGGGCATGCCCCAAAGACCCCACTCCCTTCTCTGACACCATCAAAAGAAAAGAAAGAGGGTAGCGGCATGGTTTCCTGGACTTTCTAGAACTACATTGTTCTATATGGTAGCTACTGAACATTTGAAATATGGAAATTCTAACTTATGACTTGCTATAAGTGTAAAATACACACCAGATATCAAAGACTTAGTAGGAAAGAAAAGAATGTAAAATATCTCATTAGAAGTGTTTTTGGCCAGCCGCAGTGGCTCACGCCTATAATCTCAACACTTGGGGAGGACAAGGCAGGTGTATCACTAGAGATCAGGAGTTCAAGACCAGCCTGGCCAACATATTGAAACCCCATCTCTACTAAAACTACAAAAATTAGCTATGCATGGTGGCATACCTGTAATCCCAGCTACTCAGGAGGCTGAGGCAGGAGAATCACTTGAACCTGGGAGGTGGGGGTTGCAGTGAGCTGAGATCATGCCACTGCACTCTAGCTTGGGCAACAGAGAAGGACTCTGTTTCAAAAAAAAAAAGTGTTTTTTAATGGGTCACATGTTGATATTTTAGATATTTTGGTTTAAATAAAATGCCACTAAAATTAATTTCATCTGTTTCTTTTTACCTTTTTAATGTAATTTTAAAAAGACATTTTAGCCGGGCACGGTGGCTCACACCTGTAATCCTAGCACTTTGGGAGGCCAAGGCAGGTGCCCGAGCTCAGGAGCTCGAGACCAGCCTGGGCAACACGGTGAAACCCCATCTCTACTAAAATACAAAATATTAGCCAGGTGTGGTGGTATGCGCCTGTAGTCCAAGCTACTTGGGAGGCTGAGGCAGGAGAATCACTTGAACCCAGGAGGCGGAAGTTGCAGTGATCTGAGATCGTACCACTGCACTCCAGCCTGGGCAACGGAGCAAGACTCTTTATTAAAAAAAAAAAAAAAAAAAAAAAAAAAAAAGACATTTTAAATTACTAATGTGGCTTGCCTTACATTTCCATAGGACAGGGCTGTTCTAGAGCCCCGATGGCCTGGGAGCATCCGGGTATAGAGGGGCAGAGCGGGAAGGCAGCAGGAGCGTGGACAGCAGCAGACCGTAGTGACGCTGCAGACTCTCCTGCCTGCGCTCGCAGCTCGCCCAGGCCGAGTCTGGGGCCAGGAGCACCTTCGTCACTGGCTCTGGGCCTCCCCACTCTGCTAAGCAGGACTTGTTCTCCCAGCAGACTAAGTCAGTCCCTCCTGCTACTTGCTGGAGATGAGGCTCAAAAGAGGGGTCCCAGCTCTCCTCCCCATCTCCAGGGCCCAGTGCCCGCCCTACCTGAGAAGGCTGAGAAGGAGCTGATGGTCTCAGGAGGGCTGTAGCTGGTAAAGGCTGCAACCTGAACCTGGGCAGAGAAACAGGATCTGCTGTTGGGGAAGGGCAGGCAAAAAAGGCGAAGCCCCTCCCAGCAATCTGGGTACCGAGCAGTAGGCGCTCAGACAGTGAGCGCTTCCCCACAGGGGGAGTCCAATGCGTTCTTGGTTTCCATTTCTGGTTGGGCCAGTAAATCCCCTTCCTCATCCCTCTTGTCTGCTTATCACTAGAGACAGAAATGAAAAACCATGGCCTCAGGCTGCTAAAAGTCTAAACCAAAACAGAACAGAACAGTAACAAAATAAGGCAGGTTGGACAAGCTTGGCAGAGGTCACGTATCATGCTATCTGCCACCTTACAGCAAACTCTGTCTTCCTTGCCTGAGAGTAAGAGGAAGCTCTAGAAATAGGTACGTGGGCCTGGCGCAGTGGCTCACGCCTGCAATCCCAGCACTCTGGGAGGCCAAGGCAGGCAGATCACCTGAGGTCAGGAGTTGGAGATCAACCTGGCCAACATGGCAAAACCCCGTCTCTACTAAAAATACAAAAATTAGGCAGGCATGATGACTGTGCCTGTGGTCCCAGCTAGCTGGAAGGCTAAAGCTGAAGAATTGCTTGAACCTGAGAGGCAGAGGTTGCAGTGAGCCGAGACTGGCCGCTGCACTTCAGCCTGGGTGACAGAGTAAGACTGTCCCAAAAAAAAAGAAAAAGAAAACAGTAGGTGCTGGATATCCTGGGAACTGCCCTGGCAAGCTGAAACAGAATACACTCCACCTTCCTTTTGGGGGTAAAAAAAAAAAACTGCATAACAAATGGGTGTTCCCATTTTTGCCTTATCTGCCGGGAAGCTCAGTCAACACTGTTGGTCTTTATGGACCATCACCTGCATTCTGTTTATAAGTCAATCTAGATCTCTTGTTTGTTTACAAACCAAAATGAGGCTTATAACAGCTTGTCCCCACTCCCTTCGGCCTGAGCCCTCCCCTGTACTCGGAACCTAGCTTGAGCTGCCCATTGCATGTCTCTTTGGTGTGGCCACAGTCCTCTGTACCTACAGGCACCATCCAGGATTTCGGCACAGCCCAGGGCCCTGGGTAGAAGGGGTTGGGGAGCAGAATGGCCAGGTAGGAGTCATGTCCTCTGTCGTAGTGGTCATGCCACATGTGATGGCTTCCTGGGAAGACTCGGTCACTGGGAGAGGAGTGGGACATGGGCAGAGCAGGGTGGCAGTGGGGCCGAGGCCTCTCTTCCTGCCACAGATGGGCTACCCTATCTTTCTAGCATGTGCCCACCATTCACATTAGCACTCTCCTCCAGAACATTCTGGTTCTCCTTCCTGCTTCGAGACTGATACCAGCCTCACATATTTCATCTTACCAGTCTCAGTCCCCATCTTACCTCACCACCTACTCCATGCCACAGCTGGGGTCTCCCCATCCCTTCCTGGGCCCAGGACTCATGTGACATGGTGGTGGTGGCAATGATCTGCCCGTCATCCTTGCCAAACATGCCCCACGGGATCATCCTCCCATTTCTGTCCCAGGCTCCAGCTTGGGGGCCAGGGCAAATGCTGGGGGATGCCAGGCTGGGGATGGAGAGGAGGAGAGTGAGGACCTGGCTGGGTGCCTAGCAACCCATCTTCAAGGGCAGGGACCATGCCATCATAGCCCCTGTGACTCTCAGTGCCTGGCAACAATGGCTAATGTATATAATTAAATAAGGACTAGAAGGTTCCTGGGCTAGGGTACCAGGACATGAGGCTCAAAAGTATGGTATCAAACTAGCAAGATCAAGGCCAGAGGAAAGGGCTGGGCCCTGGGGAACAGGGAAAACCCCAGGCAGCCAGGACTAGAGGAGTGACATCCCCAGGAAGACAGGGAACGGAGGTGGCCCCAGAGGCAGCACAAGCTGCCTACCCTCAGCAGAAGTGGATAACACCAGGGTAACCGCCCGACTCCACAGACCGTTCCTGCCTGGCACGGAGAGGCTGAGGCCATAGGAAGTGCCAGGCACCAGGTCGGGCAACACGACTGCATTCCTGGAGGTGTTGGCCTAG